ATGACCCCGCCAAGGCCGCGCGGCCGAGGTCAATGATCCCGCCAAGGCCGCGTGGCCGAGGTCAGTGACTCCGCCAAAGTCGCGCGGCGGAGGTCAGTGACATTACTGTAGTATGTATATAATACATATAATACAATATAAAGTATAATATTATAAATATATATAATAAATTATATGTGTGTGTGTGTGTGTGTGTGTATAATATTATTTAATGTTATATATAATATAATATATTTAATGTTATATATAATATAACTTACAGTCACGTTATTTTCACGTGTTGTTTTTCTACTCTTTCCTGTCACGTGACTTTAGTTACGTTTTTAATTTTCTCTACATATACGACGAACTGTCTCAAAAAATTACTTTTCATTATTTACTCTCTCGATTTTACCGATTCGATTCGACTCGATCAACCAACCAACCAATCGGCAACGCGGAAAAGAGGCAGCAATAGGTGCGATATATTCGACTCCAAACGCGCACTTTTCGGTCCAAATGCCTTTTTTAATATAGGAAAATTTCTATTCATTAAAAACAACATGTTTTTATTTACACATAAGAGAAAAAAGCTAACTTCACAACAATATAAAAAATACAAACAAAGTCACTAACAGTGACTGCTATTCTGATTGATGTTGCGCTTAATCGAGCGATTTGTCGTTACATCGGGCAATAAATCGTCAAAATAAATCATCGTCTTGCGAGATTTTCCCAGCTGTTGAAAGAGAGTAGAGAGCCGTCGTATCCAGCTGGAAACACCGCTGCGACTTAGACAGGACGTTTAGATACTTTATGTCGGAGCATACACGGGAATAAAAGGAAGAAAAGTTATGATGGCCACAGCCACGGTAATGCACGTGGATGGTTGGGTTTACGAGCCGCACTGGTGACTGTGAGGGTGGACTCCCTTGTTCTCCGAGTCGGTCCAATCCCTTCTCCCGTGCTCCCCCTCAGCGAAAGCAGGAATAAAAATTCCACGTTTCTCTTGGGGAAGTGGTGATCCGCGGTTACAACGTAATGTAGTCTTACGAGATCCAGGACGTGTCAGTCGTTTCTGCCGCCTCTCGCGGCGGCTTTAGCCGCGTTTTTTGTTTTATCGTACGTAACGATGTATTTTTCCACCTTAAGTGAGTGGGATTTCTAAAGCTCTAAATTTATTTGCCATATTTTTATCGCGATAAAGGAAACAGATTCGTGAATAATATTCAAATTGTAACCGTGGAAATAGCAGACGTTTGGAAAAGATAAAAATAAAAAAGGATACATGTGTAAATATGTTATTAACTGCAATTGATTACATTAAAAATCGTCTCAATCTCTTTAATGTGTATTTTAATTTATTTGAAGTATAATTTTATTGTAGACTTTTAGAAACTTATATAATCTCAATAATTAATTAATCTCAAAAATAATAATAAATAATCGATATAAATTACTTACACCTTGATAATTATTTCTTTACAATTTAATATGCGATATCTTCTAACGTGAAATGCACTTGCTGACTGTATTATTCGATAAACATTTATACATAATCAATATACAGGACGAGAAGTCAACGGTGAAACGTGCTGAGGAAAAAATCAAGAAGGGAGAAAATACGGAAAAGAGCAAGTTCGTGAACAATGTTATACGATGAAGCTTACAACACCGGGAACAGAATTCTTTCGAACGAATTCAGGGAATAAATTTCTCAGAAGCTGTTATTTGCGCGATACTTCTCCGCGCCGACTCGAATAATATCTACGTCGCTTCGAATATTCCCCTTGGAAGTTAACTACTTTTACATTCTACTCTCCCGAGGCAAAGTTGCCCCGGTCTTATGTAGCGCGCGCGAGCGCGCGCGTGAGTAAAGCCGCGATAAGAAGCGAGCGAAACAAAATTCCACTCAAGTTGAAATTTTTCTCTCATGAATACGGAATTTATAAAGCTACACGCACGGCGGAGACGCTTCTCAGCGCGTCTCGGCGAACGAATGATAACACGCTACCTACAACCGAGAGTTACATTATGTTCGCGGTTTAACGACGACGAATGCATGCAACCTCGAACGTCGTCATCGCGAATTTCGGGCGATGAAAAGTGAGCGAAGGATACGTATAAAAGAGAAACTCGCTAAGAATGAGTCTTCGCGCGACGACAATGAAGATAACGAACGCGCGTACTCTCACGTGGAGCTAAACACGAGAAAAGAAACTGTATACCGGTGCCGGTATAATCACGAGGACGGCAACGCATTTACTTCTCGTTTTCCGGTAATGTCGTCAAATGACCTGACGCTATCCTTAAATCTTGCCTGCAAGAGCAGGCTGCTTAAGGGCGACATTTATCTCGCGCGCGCCGCCACCGAGCTGGAACATTACGGAGATGAGAAGAAATTCTCCGTACTTTGTTCTTATCCGTGGCGGAATAGCCGACGCGGCCGACGCCTTTTAGAAACCGCGTGTTATTTTCGCGCAAGTTAAAAGCGGGCACTAAATAGAGGCTAGACGGCACCGCCGTCATGTTACGACGTGATCGCTCGCGGTGATAAAATCTCGTTTCTCTGATCGCAAAAGCGAGAGCGCTCGCGAATCGAGCTTCTTACGTAGAGACAATTTATAAATTTTGTATTGTTACATCTCGACAAGTTTCCGGAAATTACGCGTTCTCTCTTGGCCATAAATCACATTCTTTTCTTTCAATTTTTTTTTTTTTTATAAAGATTTAACGTCACACTCGAATTGTAAAAGATTTCTGTGACATTTTAATTTGTTTCGTATCATTGTATGTTGTGATACGCGTATAGAGATGTATCTGACGATGATTTATTTGTAAAAAAATAAAATAAATCGATACAGCATGAATCATCTACATTTAACAGCAAAAAGCGTATTAAAAATGTATATCCGCCGGCTTTTATTACAACATATTATTACATATTGCGTAAGAGAGTAATACGGTTGTAATAATGAATTGTGTGTTAAATAATAGAAATAAATCTATTACGCGACACTGAACATTTGTTACTCAATTTACATTTCCAGCTTACATCATTTATTATCGCTATATATGACGCAAAACTAAAATATATTATTCATGCGAAATATTGGCTAAGTAAAGCAAAAAAAAAAAAAAAAAACAAATCAATACAGAGATATGCACTGGAAAATAGAGAGGAAGAAAATCAGCAAGAAAAATCTGACAGAAACTCACCGTCTTTCCTCTGTCTCCGCCACGGTAAAGTGCCGTGGATACTCTCGACGTCTGAAATGTCACTGCCGAGTAGTTGTCTGAGTTCCGCGTCCGCTCGATCCTCCTTTGTACGGAACTTGCCAACCTGTGTGTAAAAAGAGCAATATCCAGATTTTATTATACACAGTAAACTTACACTTTTTGACGAAGATAAACAGAGGAAATAATTTTTTAGAGAACAAAAAAAAAAGATAAAACTTTATTCTCAAACATACTCAAATAAATGTTGATATGTTAAAAGTAGAATTTTATAAAAGATCAAATAACAATGCAATTAAAAACTTCAAATTTTATATATACAAATTTCCATCAATTTAAGCTCCAAAACGCTGAATACATATGAGAATATCTCGGTTCGTGGAATTCGCTAAAAAGCTTTTCGATGAAGAGAATAAAAAAAAGATGACGCTCACTTCCGTTATCATTTTTCCTCTGGTCTTATTGCGTTCTCGATGATTGGCTTTCTTCTCGAGCTGCTGTATCACCCGTTCCCTGGTGGTTCTGTATTCCAGAGCGAATTCGGACACAATTCTGCAGAACTCGTTCGGTTTCGTGTCCTGCACTCTGTGCAGCGGTATACCGAGCCACAAGATGAATTTACGGAAACGATTTATGATACGTCTGTGCACGATGCCTAAGACGATTATCCTTTCGGCGCAATCGGCAAGAAAATCTGACATTCTGCGGCACAAAAACAAAACAACATATGTTGTACAAATATGTGTATCTTCTTTTTTTGTTTAGTAAATAATGATTTAGAAAAGAATCAAAACAATCGCGAGCTAAAAATAGAGAAAGTAGAAAATTTAATCCATTGTTTTGAAACGCGCGAAAAGAATATTTAAGGGATGAGAGGTAATAAAAATTGACGCAAAGATAAAAATGCAAATCTGTCTGAGAAAACTGCAATTGTAATGCGAATGATTGCGACGGGAGAGATGAAAGAAGTGTGCTTTCGGTAATTAATGGAAGCTCCACTTGGACGAAAGCCAGTTTTTACGAGGAAAAAAACCTCTTTCCCGAATTTATCGAAGCTACTCGGGAGTTTTTAAAACGAGAGCGACGAGGGGAAGAGTTTTACGTGAAAAGAAGCGACGGGAGGAAATCTCAGAAAGTGGTTTGCTGACGGAGAAAACTTAACGGGAATTATACTCACTTGACCTTCATCATCGTGGAACCATCGTGCTTCGCAATGAGTTTGAGATGGTCCCAGGACGCTTTGCACTCGCTCTCGAGTTTCGCGATGTTCGCCGCCAGTTCGTCAAAGTCGATTTTCGAGGCTCTTGTTACAGCGCCGATCTGAAAGCAGAAGCGCGTCGGCGGTGTCGGGAAAGTTGTTCCGACTGTGCTCAAGAAACAAGAGAAACGACTTTGACTTTGATTTAATCGAGATAATATCTGTGTTTCTGTCTCGTCATCTAGTAGAGAAGATTTTGAGAAACTTGAAACTTCAACAAATACATTTATCGAGCTAGAAAACCGAAATAATTTTAGTTTGCAAAATAATTGCACAAATTAAAAACAAAACAAAGTAGAACTGAAACTAAACACCGGATCGCTTAAATAAAATTAATCGAGGCGAGAGTATCCGTTTCAATCTTTATAATAAACCAAAGTTCTGAAAACTTTTAAGAGATTATCAGATTAAATAAAGAAAGACCTTTCGGAAAGTTGTAAGAGATACGAATACAGAAACTTGGTCACAATTACGTAAATGCAGACGCACTATCGTGCTTTCCCGGCAAAGTGTAAAGTTTTCTCAGCTTTCGACACTGTTAACTGTTCTCACCTCCGAGTAGAGATCCGTGGAATCTGGGAACTTCTCCATCACCATGTGGCAGAGATGATGAAGCAGTGAGTGCTTGTGAACCGTATCCTTCACTTCAGGTACTTTGACGAGGTATTCCAGCTGAAAGCCCTTTACCTAAAAAAAAGAAAAACGTTCTCGTAACGCGGAGCGCGTAACCCGGAAAATCGCGCGTTTCGTTTCAACGCTCGTAAATTTCCAGATTTTCACGAGGCGCAGTTAGCTCAAGACAAACTCTATAAATACACACGATGGGAGTTAAATGCGATTACTTTTGTTTTTTTTTTTTTTTGTTTTTTTTTAGAGTTTATTTGGATTTAAATAACAGAATAAATAGAAAAAAGCGCGCGAGAAACAAAATTGGAAAAGTATTCTCTAATCCAATATTACTTTCCATATCAAATACCTCTTGAAAAATAACTCTAGCTAGAAACTCGACAGGGAAAAAAATTTCTGCTGAAACAGCAAAAACAGTAATTACTTTATGGCAAGAAACATTTGCCAAGTCTATTAAATTTGTTGTTTTTGCCGACAAAACATTTTTGTTAGCGAGACAAGAAATTCAGTAACAAATTTTTCTTGCTGATCGTGTAACAGCAAAACTTTTAATTCGTTTTTATTTAAAATTACTTTTAATATATTAACAAGAGATTTTTAAACACACATTTCAAGATCGAGAACAAATAAAACTGGTGATCGTGGACTGAGATTTTGTTTTTTTTGGAAAAAATGCGGGCAGTCGGCCAAGTGGCACGAAAAGTATCCCGCTCGGCCAGCAGTTAGAACGAAATTATCGATATCGCCGCGTACTGCCGCGAACCTCGTCGGGCCGCGGAACAGACGGATTAAGCGGATATCATTTGGCTGACATTCAATACCCACCTCATTTCCGTTGAGGAATATCCCAATCGAAAGAAGCGTGCTGAGAATCCCGCGGAACGTTTTATTCACTCGCAAAGTCTCCATGCCCTGCTTCAGATCCATCAAGGGATCCGCGATTTCCTAAAAAAAAAATAATAAAAATAAAAATACACACCGTTTTGCATTTACTTCGTGCAAAAATTTATGCGTTTAAATTTTTACGTTCGCGCATCATCGTTGTCTAAAATTTTAATTCGCAGATTAAGTTAAAAATCCGGGAAACAAACCACGAAAGAACAAACCAGCCGCGTCACGTGAGAGCAGAAATATTTGCGTAACAAAAACTTCTTTGTGACTTTTAAAACTCATAATTTGGAGAGAGCGCGTTCGTAATTCCGAAGCAACTTTGAAATATTTTGAATTACGCACACTTTTGACACGAGAATTTTATTAATTGTTTGCGTCGACTTTTGTGATACATTTACGAAACACTTTTTTTTTACCGGGGACGTAGTGTGTCTTAGAGGTTCAAAGTATACAGGCGGATACGAGGAGAGTTTCCCGGTGCTATTTTGCGCTTTGGTTACGGTCGAGCGTTGCCAAGGCAGATCGTTGAGTGACCTCTCTTAGCTTGCGCGCAATATCGGAATTTGCCATTTTGTCGTTGAAGAAACGCGCCGAGAACGCTCTTCTGCGTGCCGACTTCCTCCCCTGGCATTACTGGCATTCCTTCTCATCGTTCTCGCGATAAAATCCGCACGTGAAGTCAAGACAAAAAAAAAGACGAAAACGAAGAAAAGAAGAAGAAAGCTAATTTAATTGTCATCGCGCATTGCCGGCATCCGGCGAGTATAACACACGTATAAAAATCAAACCTACAACACTCGTATGTCGTAAATAATCGCGCTTATCGAGAATTTAAAATCAGCAAACGGAGACAATATTGGAGTGTCGAGATCTTCGCTCACCTTTTCGGAGTTCTCGAAGTCCAGTTTGAACGCCCACAACTTTAGTCTTGCCGGCAGTTCCGAGATGGAGGTCAAAGTCAGCAAGAACTGTTCGGCCGATCCTAAAGGAAGATCAGGATTGGCGGCCTGCGCCTCTTGTATTCTGGACTTCTCTTCCTTCGTAGGCAGCATCGTCAGGAGTTTCTGTTGGAAAAATGTTGGGCGAAGGAGGGGAAGAAATGAGGAAGAAAAATCAATTGAAAATTAGAGAAATCAGAGTAAACACATAAATTAAGATGTATAAGTGCGTTTCAACTGAAAATAAAGGCTGACTGTGAAATAAAATTTGGAGAAATTTCAAAACGCTCTGTCGGTCGTAAATTAAAGCGGGATCGGTGTAATTTATTTGGACAAACATTCAATTTTCGAAAAGTTGGAAAATTGGTTAAAAATATACGTGACGTGAAAATTACGGAATTAATATAAATAGAATAAAAACGTACTAATGGTATAATTAATTTCGTGCCATAAACTGTTCAAATTTCTATTTTATAAAATAAAACTATTTTACAAAGTGCATGCGCGCATATATATATATAGATATATATATATATTTCTCTTTTTCTCCTTGTCCTTTTATATGAAAGTAAAGAAAAGAGAAGTGTGTTTTCGTCTTGACGTTATAGAAGTTACTTTCTGATATTAAAAAGTAACAATAAGAATGTACGACGTTCTCTTACCTCAATACCTTCTCTGTTCATGATGGTAGCGTCCATTTTCAAAATCGCAGTCTTGATCGATCTCGGCGGTGGTAATTTCGTCATACCGATGTTAATGGCGTTCGATCTTTTATGATTCAGCACGATGATCTCTTTGTTCTTGTTCATCTCTTGCTGCTTCTGCTTGCCAACAACATAATGAGAAAATACTCTGTATTCTTCTGATTACATAAAAACTCTGCTTTCGCGTGTAATACAAATGTTCTCTCTCGACATTCTGATTATATAAATCCATAATTAAGTATATTACGATCGATTAGTATTGATAAACCGTGCGACATTCTCTTCACACACACACACACACACAAGCTTTCACAAAAACTTGACTATGAGAACACATCGTGAAACATAAAAACACATTGAAACACATACAATTACATTTAAAACATATCGAAACACATGCAATTTATGAGAACATGTAGGACGTATCGAGGACGTCATTAAAACGATGAACGTGACCGTTTCTCAATGGATTGAAAGTGAAAACATATGTGAACGACTTCGAATGCTTTCCATCGAAATTATCTAGCTTGTTGGCAATTCATTGAAACGATCTCGCGTGTGTCCGACACAGTAATTATGGGACGGCAAAGATCGTAAAATTTACAGAACGTTGTTAAGTATTAAATCAAAGCGAGAGTGGTGGCTCTGTGGCTATTTCAATGTCAGCCGAAACATTTTTTTTTTCCGATCGAATTTACAAAAATTTACATTTATAATACACATATCGTGCAAAACGGAAAATTATTACGATTTAACGTAAAAAAAACAAAAAAAAAAACACAACATTGCGTGCAGGATTTTTACAACAAAGGAATATAGAAATATACGCGACACAAGAGAAAACTACAAAGTCGTAACCAAGTCACACGGACAAAGCGCCACATCACATGCCCGGCAATGAAAAGCAGTGAACAGCGCGAGCGAAACGAAAGTAGAGATTGCAATTTATCGAACGCGCGTATCGTCGCGGCAACGTTAAGAGGAACATCTGCTATTAATCGACTCGACGTGTCGTATACAGATCGGATAATCGTGCGCTACGTGAAATATGCACGAAACAACGAACGCAACAGCACGGCAACAGCAGCAACCTCTTCTCCTGAAGAGAGTGAAATACCTCCCGCGGAGTCTCCATTAATTAGTGCATTACCATCAGGTAGGTAGGTATACGGAGACGGTATATATCGATCGCGCGCCGTGGTGGTAGAAGCGCGAAATACACTCGGCGAAATTTATGCACTCGAAACGCACATGCACGTTAAATTAACAAACGGGGGAGGGAGAACAACAACAACGCGGAGGAAAGTTAAGGAATTAAGAGAGAGACTCACCTCCTGTAAAATTCCAGCATGCCATTTCGTTCATTTTTTTTTTTCGTGCGAGCACCAACAACATTGCCAAGAATACAAGAAGAAGATTAGTCTTATTGCAGTAAACCATCATCATCACCAACCCCGCTACCGCATCCGACCACACCGTCGTAATCGTTATTCATGACCGTTATCATAACCGTTATCCTCACGCGATACAGTCACGCTTAACCGCGTTATTAAATTAGCCGGTGTTATTGTACAGCGCTTATATGATAATCACATACCGTATGCGCGAAATTGAGTGAAAGTTAATATACGAATCTCAAATTGTCCTTAATGCCTACAATTTACCTCTGTAATTCACGTGCTTTTGAATTCTGAATCAAGCGGGAATTAAATTTTTGACACGTACTGACGATCCGATTATTTCCGCTACCATGTTATGTATTACATTTTAATTTAAAAACCCCGATAATACGCACATAAATATGCATGAGGTTCGCGAAAATACGCGTCATCCAGAGAGAGTGACGGTGCTAACAATCATTAGCAATTAAATAACAAGTTTAAATGTATTTATCATCGCGTTGAGAATCACTCTGTTTTTTTTCACAGTTTTTCTTAAACTTCTCTCTAACGACCACCTCGCACGTCGTGGCGCACTTTGCGCGTTGATTTTTCCGCCTTTTGCGAGTTTTCCTCTCTATTAGTCGCGAAACACGCGGTGCTAGTGGTCCTGATTTACGACGTAACGGAACGAGTGCAAGCAACTGTGCACAACGTCATTATTCGCGTCGAAGGCAAGAGCTTCCCTTCTTACACCCTTTCCTTCTATTTTCCCCGCCCCCTCCCCTCTGTCGGTTTTGTCGCCGGCAGGCTCTGGATTTTCTTGGCGGCGCGGCCACTTTTTCGCTCTTTTTTACGAGGTCGACTGTAATTATCGGTACTCCAGGTACAGGTTCAAAGGGCGAGAGGAAGGGCGGCGTCGGAAACAACGTCGGAGCGGAGAAATAACGCGACAGCTTTCAGCAACGCTCGAAAAATGTGCGCAACCTGTGCGAGAAAATTTTTTTGCCGCGACTTAGTTGCGCACACACGCGAAATATACAAGCGAAAGGAAATCCAATATAACCGCGCTATGTAATTACTGCGGTAATTAACAACGGTCTTCTCGACACGATGCAATGCGTCAGCATAATGTCAGTCGGCAAGAAATTTTTCGCGGCTTTTTGCATGAGAGAAAAAGGGTTAAATCGTTATTAATACCATATTATTTTATCTCGGTACTAATATACCTCCTCCCTCCCTCCCTCCCTCCCCATATATTATCTTATCCATATGTAACCTCTCTTTAATTACATTTAATTTATATATGTAATATGCTATATATATATATATATATATATATATATATATATATATGTATATATACGTACATTAATAGATATAAATTTGTGTAACATACATTTTTTGTGCGCGATTCAATAATTCAACTTCTTTTCAATGCATAACTATGTGTTTTTTCCCTGTGTAATTCCGAGCGTAATTGTCACAATCACAAACGACGCGCGGCGCGTCAGTCAAAGCAATGGAAAGATGTCATCCCCTTTAAACGACGCGCGCAACCTCAAATTGCTGAACCAACAGAACCGCATAGACTTTGTGTGCACGACATTGTGAATATCGTACTATCGTAAGCGCATAAGGAATTTTCAGAATATTTTTTTTCTCTACGTGACAACTTTGCGTAAGATAAAAACTTTTGTGATTCGCGTGAGATTTAACGATTCGCAAAATGTGACAATTGCGACAGAACTTCTACAAAGCAAAGTGAAAAAAGAGAGTGATGAATATAAATAATCTATTTTCTATAATATATGTCAATATCTACAAATAAACAGAATTATCAGACCGTATATAATGAGTGACGGCGTCGTGTGCACTCCGCACTTAAAAATAACATTACAAAAATTAATACCGTGAAGATAATACGGTTTTCATTTTTCACCTCGTTAGAAAAATGCCGAAGAATGTCGTACGAGACTACGATGTGTGCTTTGAGAGACAGGATACTCGGTCTTGTTTAAATGAGTTCTCTCACATCGTCGCTTTTAGCTGGTCGACGGCGAAACTCGCGGTTCGTTGTGTACTTGTGTACGGCGAAAACACAATTCGCGCTAAATCGCAAAGGAGGTCGGAAGACCACTCACCTTGGTGATGAGATCCTTAGCGCGGCTCTCGAAGAGATGCTCGAGCTTCTGCGTGTCAACGGCTACTGGCGTCAGCTCGTCCCAAATCATCTTGTGTTTGTCGAGACGCGCGAGAATTGCGGGGTCGTCCCGCACCTCTTTCCAGAACAGCTTCACTGTCTTCTTGCTCTTTTTCGCGAGCAACGACGGCGGACTCTTCGGCGTTGTGTTGCTGGTCTCGTTGGCCGGCGGCGGCGGACGCGTTATCTTCAGACTGACGCCGAAAGGACCTTGAGGAAGCGGCGGCGGCAATCTCGCACCCAGAGGCGGTGGCGGCGGTGCTTGAACGTCTCCGCCCGGAGGTGCCATCGGCGGCGGCGGGGGCGGCACTCCGTTTGTCACGTTAGCGGATCCTAGCACGTCGATCTCGTCGTCGGAATTCAGATCGGTGAAATCCAGATCGCAGAGAGACAGCGGTCTCTTCAGCTTCTTCACCAGCTCTTCCCAATGCAGCTCGTTCTCGGATTTCTTCGTTTCCTGCAGCTTCGGCAGATTATCGCCGGTCGGCGATTTCAGCACGTCCGCCTTTGATTTGGACTTCGCCAGACCTTCCTTCGCCTTCGAGATCAGTCCGCTCATGTCTCCTATCCTGTAAACACACGAGTGAAAAATGCTGGATCATAAAACTTGTCAATCTGTTTTTTACTGAACATAAAAAAGAAACTCTTAAAAGTTGTGTCGAGATTAAGCTCGCGAGAAAGCTCGCTTATTGATTTATTGAAAGTCTCGCATATCCGTAGATAGTGAACTAACTTTTACACACGAAACGCGCAACTCTCTCTCTCTCTCTCTTTCTCTTTCTCTTTTGCAACATCCCGCGTAAAATTATCTCAAACTTAGAACTTCCAACGAGATACAACAAAGTTCGCGCGACTTTTACGACTCGGTTCTTGCTGTTGTCAATATCTCGCGCCATCGTAATGTATTATTTTTCACTCTTACTTGTTAAAAGGCCGTAGTATAAACTTTTACGCTACGTTTGATAAGAAAACTTTCTGAGCGAGATGCATAAAACATAATAAGATTTACTTTTCTATTAATATCTACTGGATTTCTTAATGTTTATTTTCTCAAGTAGTTTTGCAATTTTCTGTGGCGTAATAATTTTTCACCTCTTCTTGTGAGGGAAATTTGTTTATTCTAAAGTTTAAATATGAACACAGAAAATAGATAAAGAAAGAGAGAGAGAGAGAGAGAGAGAGAGAGAGAGAAAGAGAGAAAGAGAGAGAGAGACGAGCAGGATAAATCAATCAAGTGTAATATGCATTCGAAATGAAGGTCGCGCCTTTGCCGAAATTACCTGGAAACTTTCTCCTCCACGGGGCTGCTAGGTATAAGATTCTGCGCTGCCAACTTCTGCGTGAGATCCTTGACAGTTCCCTCCCTCTTAAGCTGTAGAACTACTCGACGATCCTCGTCCTCGTCGGTGTGATTACTCTCGTTGTACTCGACACCTTCGTTGGAACTTTTGCCGTACCATGGCTTCTTCTCCTCCGAGTCGAGCTTGTTCGCGGCGTTCATCAGCGGCGTCAAGTCCTTTCTGCTGTTCGCTCTGGACAACTTGTTCGACGGAGAATCTGCATTTCTCTCGTAAGAGGTGCCGTTCGTGTATCGCAGACTGTTTGACGCAAAGGAACCTTTAAATCAGCAGAAAGCTATTGTTGTAGTGACATTTTCCCGATGCGTGTAATCTTTGAAAAAAAGATTTAAAGTGAGAGACGATAGGTTATTATATAAACATCTAATTTTTTCCTTTTGTATTTTTTTTTATACGTATTTAACAGCGAATAGGATGGATTTTACGTGAAAATGGTAAAACAATTCGCGCAGTAGATAATTGACCCGAAACTACTCACTTTCCTGATCGTCGCCGTGTCCAAGCGAAGCTCTCATGTTTGCGGTAGCCTCTTGTTGCTCTCTAATGAAGCTCCTCTGTCTCTCCGCACGTTCTCTTCGCCGTCTCAGCGCCGGTGTAACACCAACATCCACTGAAACACGTATTGTGTTTTGTTCATTAAACATCGAATTATATATACGAATAACTAAATTATTACTTTAGTCTCTGTGTGTTTCAATTACATCGACCATAGACTAATAAGTTTGAAATAACATTTGAATAAACTTTTTACGTCGAAAAAAATTTATATAGAATATAAAAAATTCTGTACCAAATTTATAATTGTTTTATAACTATGAAAATATAATCAAATAAAAAACAATTATGGATGCACTTTAAATTAAAACAATTAAATCAAGACATTCTTTCTATTGTTTTCGTATCCGGTTTGGCGCGACATGTTCCGAGATCTAATGGAACATTTTATGCCGACCGCGTCTCCAATGAAATGCGCAAGGGAACTGAAACAGCAAGGTCTCGGTAAGCGATTTGCCGATGCGGGAATCGAGAGCCCCGTGGGCGTTCAAGTTCGTATTCATCATGCAATCGAATTGCTAACGAATCAATTTACATGCGCTAGTTAAGAAGACTGTCTAAAAAATTGAGAAAATTGATCTCTGAATTAATGTTACTTGTCCATGTAAGCTCGATCTGTCAATCTCAATTTATTTATTTCGCAGATACAACTCTCTCAATAAAAAACGTTTAAACATTCCGTGCACGTTAGTGCAAACAAAAAGAGTTTGCAGATAATAATCGAGAAAAACAAGAGCCAACTGATATTTACCTTTGTTCTCTTTGTAACTGCCGTTGAGCTGAACTTCACCCAAATGGCTCTGCGAACTCTGAGAGCTACTTGATTCGTCGTCGTCGTCCGGTAGGCTCGAGTTCAAGGTGTTGTTCATTGAGCTTACGCCCAGGGAGTGATTTAATCGTGGACTAAGACGTGTATTCAAGGACATCGACAGGGGCGAGTTGCCTGTCGAGTGTCTTCGAGACTTTCGCCGCTCGTGAGAATCCACTAGAGATTTCCGATTACGCAAAGTCTTTCTGCGAAAATCCAATGGAAAATACCGTTTTTGTCAAATTGCTCTCAAGTGTAAATAGAGATATTTAGTTTTCACATATTTCTTAATGTTTTTGTTGAATATTTGAATATTAAATCGTCGTCTCTCAAATACTTGATCGCATTAAATCTGATACATATGACACATGTTTTATAAATTATAAATATATAATTTACGTATTTTTTTCCAAATTATAAATGTCAAATAATTTTAGAACTGCGAATTAGAAAACTCTCTCTCTCATAATATATCTGTATAAAAAAATTAAGAATCTTTATTAAATCTTCATTGAATTACATTCAACTGTCATGGCAATCCGTGATACTATCTACCTTATGTTGTCATCCAGTTGACGTATAGGCGAACCTCTGTCGCCGTCCTCGTGATGCAGCACCGCCTCGTAGATCTGAAACTGCCTGAGCAGATCGAGATCCGTGCCTTGCTTCGACATGTACCTTTGAATGACGCCCTCCATACCCTGTTCCTCCAGGCAATCCACTTGATCGTAATAAGTGTCCTGATCGGGGATGCCGTTCAAGCACTTGTTGATCAAAGTCGTCGCGTATATAAGCAACTCCGTATCGGCGGCGTCGTAATCCTTGAGGAGTTTCATTACGTTAATCCACGGCACCACACCCCTAGCTTGGTCCACCGCCCTTATAGCTCTGACCAGCAGCAGACTGTTCGTCTCCACGTATTCGACAAACACGAGGAGCAGTTTCAACGCCGTCTTGACTACCAGCCGAAAACGGCTGGCGATTAATGTATATAACCATTCCACAGTCTGTCCGTGTTCCATCACTCCGTTCATACCGTCGACGTACAGCATCACCTGGCCGAGTGCTGCGTGAATGCAAATAAGTTGCGAGATTAAACGCGAAAGAAGTATTCGTTCGAAAAGAAAAAGAAACAAGTTCGTTTGTTTCGTAAATAAAGTTTCCTGGGATGAATTTCAAATTCGTTGTCGCAAACAACAAGGAAAAATATTCAAAACCGAATGAAATACGAGATATGTAAATCAAGAGATGTACAGTAAGATATGTTTTTATTAACGTAAGATTTAAAAAGATATATATTCAGGCAGGTATTGCATTTCTTAAAAAAAAAGAAATTAAACAGAGGGAAGAAAAAAAAAGCTTTTATGTGGAAATGGATTCATATATCTTGACTAGATAATTCACACGAAAACATCGCGCGTATTTGACCAATGTTTTTCCCGAGAGTTTTCGAATCTGTTGATATACTGTATCATAGTCATTTATCTTGTCGTTTAATTTAGACTGCGGTGGTACTTCGCTATTTTTATTGGCGCGCAAAAATATGAACGAAAACGTCGGAACGACGACCCGGGTGCCAATGTACACGATGAGAAATAAAAGCACGAACTTCGTTAGAGTCCGAGCGATGCGAAACATCAATCTCGACCCGATCCGAAACGATGTTGCCTATTTTTTTTTTTTTTTTTTTTACGCCACACCGCTTCGTTGTTTACGAAACTGATTTCCGGCGGGTCCTCGGGTCGCGTATACGGTGCGACTGGAATTTAACGTGCAAATTTCGCCGATCGCGGTCGTAGGTAGGTTCGCTCGAATTTTATCCCATGTGAAATTACGCCCAAAAACGTGCTTGCGCTCACACGTTGCCGTTTTAAAACTCGCGTGTGTTCCGCCAAAAGCACCGCTCTCGTTGTGTCCTAAATAAATTACGACGCGCTTGGCGTGTAAAATGTGCGAAAAATACAAGGGAAAGCTGCTGCAAACGCTCATGCTTTGCAGGTACGTAAAAACCTTCTTTCAACTAAAATTAATTGGAGCAATAAGAGAAAAAAAAAACAAATTTGCCGAATAATGGTTGCATTACAGAAAATAAGTAGAAAACTTAAACTAGTGTGTGTGAGACTTTTCAAAGTAAAATTAATCTCAAACAAATTAAGTAATTAATTAAATTATAACATACAATAATAATTATATAATGTGTATGTGTACATAAAATAATTAATGTCACACACAAAATCGTAAATAAGCCAATCACGTGAAGTTCCGCTTAACCAACTATAAATTGTCAATAAACTGTGTCCCAAATTTACTTGTCAGCTGAATCGATTTTATTTGCGATAACGATATTTGTGATTTCTGCGAAAATCACATTACGTATAAACTGATAAGTGACAAAAAAAAAACATATTCTTTCTTTTAAAATTATCATCGCAGTTCTGACATTCTCGCAATCGCGTGAATCGTATCATATTCGTGTCGGCAATCAGAATCGATCGTGAAGCGATTTAAACACGTTCTACCGATCATTAATTCAGTCGTTATCATTACACGAGCCGTAAGTTATGACGTGAAATCTAATTAGAAGCTTAGATATCGATTGCGACGCGCATAAACAACATGTGCCAAATATATACATCATGTTGCTGAGTCTGCATCGCAGGCTTTAAAGTAACCGCAAGATTAGCATCTCTCTCTGCGAGATGTTATTACCAATAGGAAGAAGAAAAAAATCACACAACATTGCTTGCGGCTTCTTCCGTTCTAAAAATTAAATCTTACCACATGCTAATAGATATCACACGTTGAAATGTATTCAAGTAATGGATTTATGTAAAAATAAATATATTTATGTTAAAGTATTAAAATAAATTAAAACGGATAAATTGTGTAAAAGTATCAACATATAAATTGTAAACTCAAATTTGTTTTGTATTTTGAAATTTCTTGTATAAAAATTATGTTGAAATTTCTTATACAAAATTAATTTAAAACAGAATTTTTGTAATATTATCTTAATTTTTTATATTATTCTAATTTTTTGTTCTTCAATTTTATCTTCATGTAATAAAAATACGCAAATACGGAATTACGTAGTGTAGAATTAACGTGCTCGCTCGCATGTAAGCCCGACAGTTTACGGAGCACTTGAAACACGGCTGCAAAGTGCGACCGCGTTCGAAAGGCGCGATCAAAGGGCGTCATTCATAATTCGCGACGCATCGCGCGGTTCGACGAGCAGTCGCAACTCACCGTGGCTTCCACACGTGTTGACGCTTTCGCCGTAAACGTCGTGTGTCGCGCGTTAACGCACTTCACTGTATCAAACTCCTGTTTTAGATGGTGGTAACGTTTCGCCGTTGCGCGCGTCTTTCTCGGAAATGCAAAGACGAGAGAGAACGGCGAATGCCACGCTCGTTAAACCCAGGCTGCATTACGCCGGGCATTATCTTATCGTTACTCGCGAGATTACAGACGAGAGACACATCGCGTCTACCACCGCGAAATCTCATCGTGTGCATAAACGACAGGTGTAGCAAGGTCACGTCGTTTCCTTTAACTCAATTTGCGCGCAGTCGTTTACGGTAAGAGACTTTCCCACCGTCGTCTAATTGGACGCATCGCGTCTGTTATCGCGGAAGTTATAGAATAATCATCTACGGTATTGTTACCGCCGCGTCGAACACACACACACCCACACACACACACACCAGACGAGAGCCCCATCGCCGCGATCATTTACAAAGTTATAAAAGTTAATTGGATATAATGCACGCGAAGAAAGAAAGAGACTCCCAAGTGATCGATAAGAAAAACGAAATTTCGCGTGAGATATCTTGCGAATTTGTTATGAGCAAACGGTTTAAATAGCGTTTCAAGGTTTATTAAGTTACCGCGCTCTGAGATATTAGGTTCGCACATGCTCCACGATTCGATCTTACTGTGTTGAAACGAATAGAGCACTCACCTCGCAAAATGTAATTTTGATAATTCTGATCGGCCTCGCTGCTGACTTTGATAAGGCAGGCGAGTCCGTCATTTTGCACGAACTCATGCACCAAATCCTTGTCCTCCTGTAAAAGAACAGAGTTGTGTGATAAGACTTTGATTGCAATGTAACGCGACGAGAAAATATAATCGATGTTGCACACGCCAAACCGTTGGCGAAAGTGTTTCGCTAAAGACTGTGAAACGCGTTTGTTGTAGGATAAGCTTCTTAATTGTATTGGAGAACGAAAAGCTTTGAGACGCACAATTTGGAAAATTGCCGCGTTATACTTTGAACGTTAGCGTCGTGTATGCAATTATTTTATTGCAATTATTTTATATTGCAATGAAAAACGCAACATCGTCGCAAAGAAATCAAACAACAGGTAGTCTCGATAATGTTAATTTTTACTGATTTTATTTTTATATTCTTATTTGCGTATTAATATTTATTTAAATTTTTTCGTGTAAAACTAATTTCGAAACTCGTGTTTGTAATTTTTATTTTTCACCTTCAAATTTATTTATTGCATCTGATCTTCTCTCGATAAAAGCAGAAGCTTCCCAACAAATTAACGGGAATAAGTCGCGGGAAAAAAATCATCTCCCGAAGAACCCATCCGATATCCGATCTTGACAACGTCACGGAAGCGCGATTTACCTCTACATTACCACCTAAGCTACCCGTTCCATCGTGCAAACGGAGGAGGTTTAAATGGAATTAGTTATGCCGCGCCGGGCGCAAAGTCGCGAGCATAATGGAAAATCTACGAAGTTTGATTAAACCCCTCGTTTCCAAGGCGTCGCGACGCCGGTGCCGTGGCCCGTTCGCGATCTCGTCGGACTTCTCTCCGATTCGTATTCTCCCCCCGGATTCTCTCTTCTATCTCAACAATCCGGAAACGGTGGAAGTTTACACGGGACTTAGGCGGGACGCAGACTCGATTAGCCCGGTGGATTAAGATGCGAAATTGGACTTCGTACCGATGCGCTTCCTCCGATTCCCTCGCGTCGCCGCGAGAAGGAAATCCGGAAACTGACCGAGAGAAGAAGCACAAAGAGCACGTTCGCATTTCGATACCCGGTGGGAGAATAATTATTAAGAGAGATATATACGTTTACGCGAAGTCTCTTTGGATCAGACAACCGGTTGGATGTGCAGCTGATTAGCGCGACGGTAAATCCAATTAGTTGCGCGGATTAACGGAAAGAAGAAAGAGGACGTGTAAGAAGAATACGGGACGGAAACCCGATAATCAAAAGGGCGCGACAAAATCGTTAAACATTGGACGAGATTCAATTAACTCGCTCGATGGGGGAAAAAAAAAACAAATTAATTTGATGCTTCCAATAATTCTGTCTTTCGAAATAATTGTTGCAGCAATGAGGAAAAACGAGAAACGAGACAAAGCTTAGATCGAACAGATCAACCGTCCGTAAATATTTCAGAAACGAGTTAAATAAATTTCAGTACACATACCGGAGAAAATAACAGCAATATATTTTGACACGCTAGTCTTCGTGTCGAGAAACGATTATTTTTCCCGACGAGAGAGGGATAATATGCCATATGGAAGAAAATCGCTCGAGAGATAATCGACGAAAGAAAGCGGCCGTTGCAGGGTTAAAAAAGAAACAAATATTGACCGCGAGATCGTTATGTTTAATAAGACAGTACGAATAGTTTCGTGAAATTTTTGCGAAAATAATCTAACGGACAATCAATCAACTCGAGATAAATATTACAATTCCATGCCCTCCAGATATTTAATTCAAATTTTCACTTTTGGTTGAATCAGATTTCTCACAAAAAAAAAAAAAAGAAAAGAGATCACATCTTCGGCGAGAAGAGAAGATGCACTCGCTCGAATCGCCATGCAAATATTTGCTCGTCGGACAAGTAGTTTTTGCACAAAAATATCCTACGCCCGAGTTCGTCGCACGTCTCGCATCCACCCTCTTCGTGTATCCGATCTCATCACCGTCCTCCATCTCTCTCTCCGTTCTTCTCTTCGCCCTTCTCTCGTCGTATCGCGAATTGTGAACCTACCTGAAAGATCTGCTTGAGGGAGAAGAGAGCTCGTCGCAGCTCGCGGCCCTCGCTGTTCAGCAATTTTTCTGCAACAGACAAGCAACACGTAACCATTTATTATAATAATACTATGCGCCGCGCCGTGGCCGTCGTCGTCGTCGTCGTTGTCGTCGTCGTCGTCGTGGGCGCACATTGTTGCGCGCGTCCAAGCCCCTTAACTATAAGAACTATAAGACTCCGTCGCTGCGAGGAGTCCAGTTTTCAGATCACGGTACACTCTTGAACATCGTCGTAATGAAGAGAAGGCCGCGTTTACAACAGACCTCTTCCATCACGACGATCAAGTGCGCCCGCGTACTGCTAATTTGATATAAATTGCCGCTCAAATTATTAAATTCAACCCACGGGCGAAGCCGACGATCTTCGAGACTAATTTTAATAATATCGAGCGAAAACAGCACGGAGTAATGGAGCGGTGTCGGTTCGAGAGAAAATTTATAATGACGATTTAATAAAGTGGCTGCGTTAAGTAATTAATGTAATTTTCGTGAAGGTTAACGTTTTGAAACGCGTGAGTCTCGATTATTCTCCACAAAAGTTCTTTATTCTGCGTTTCAAATGTAAAATAAAACAGTTTTGGAAATGTAAAATAAAACGTTTCAAAGGACAAATTGTTTCTGAAAGAGACAAAATCTCGGAAGTCCATAATTAACTCCGAATTGCAATTCAAAGTTAAACATCGCACACGTTTCATGATTTCAATTAACACTTTCTCGCCGATTCGCGCGTCAATAATCGCGCGAACGCGCGCATATTCCGCGCTATTAAGCGTATATATATATATGTGTGAAACATAGCCGACAATTTCCATGAGGGTTCACGATCCCATTGAGAAGCTCGTCGTTTGACTCTTCCCTCCCTCGCACGGGTCTTGTTTATCGGACGAACAAACAGAAGTGCGTGAATTAAACGATAAAGGGGGGGAGCTCGTAATTAAACCCAATCAATTTTGCACGTCAAATTCCCGATCGAAATCTCCGCCGTCCTATCTGCGCTTTTTTTTCTCACTCACCGTCCCATTTCGCGATTCTCTTTCAATCATGGCTCACGGTATTACTAATAATTGAATTCCATTTTCACTAGTGGCGCGACACGGCAAATTGAATTTGCCGGCCGTGCCCGGGATCTCTCTCGCAACTCTCTCCCGCGGAAGTTCGCGGCGGAGTTTCGTCAGAAACGAACGGCGAGAAAAAAAAAAAAAAAAAAAAGAAACGAATCTAGCAGAGCGCGTTATCGCGGAAACGCCAATAGACCGTGAGCATATGCGTCAATTCCATCGGGAACGAGAAGCGAGACTGAAGCAGAAACAAGCGTATCGGTATTCCGCGATGTGTATATCCCGTGCGGAAGGTGTGTTTTATCTGCGCGACAATGGTTCTCAGTGACAAGTGCCGTTTATTTTTTCAGGAAACGTTTGAAAATCGGTCACATCAATTCGTAATAACGTGACGCTTCAATGGCTTTTTACGTACAAAAATGATTTTTGTTCGTCGCGGTCGCGTCTCGTTTGCAATTTTTTTTTTTTTTTTTTTCCGCAACCACGCCCGGCCGAGTCACGCGGCGCGGCGCGGGGCGAAACCCAATTCGCGATTTCTTTCGCGGAAAAGAAGGCCCGCGCGACCGCATAATCCACGGTTATCACGCGATCTTTAAATGCATAATGCATGCGGCAGAGAGAGACGGCCGAGGTAGAGCGGAGCGACGGGAGAGAGAGAGAGAGAGAGAGAGAACGAAAAGAAGAAGAAAGAGAGAGGGAGAGAGATATGCAAGCAGAGGTAATTAGGAGTTCGCTGCAGGGTATGCGAAGGAGTCTCGACAAGAAGGATGTCGACGAGGGAGAGAGAACGAGCGACGCGTCTTCTAAGAATAGCGGTCCCAAGGCCCTGGGGCCCTTGGTCCCTCCGTAATCAGTGACCATATAAGCAGAAGTCCCCGTCTGACCCCCTCCCCGCGACCCTTTTTGCTCACCGTCTCTCTGTCTCCGCGTTGTATCTTCTTTTCGTTGCTAAGCAACTTCGCCGAGTCCGCTGTAATGCGCCATTGTCGCTCTCCCCCGTACACAGAGATCCTCTTTCGCTTAATTTTCATTGCGATCAATAGCGAGTCGTTGCAACACCGCACAGTGGCACAGAGAGTGCGTAAGCACAGTAATCTACTGACCCATTGCCGGATCAAAGCTCGGAAGAGGAATCTATGATAATCAGACTAATTGAACTAATTGGACTAATGGGAAATGTACAAAAACACATCACAACGATGTTGTAGCGCTCCATTTACAAGAGATGTAACGCGATAAGAAGTTATATCATATGACGCGATAGCGTAAACATGTTGCTATTTTTGTCTAGGATTATTCAATGTGACAAGCGAGGCCAACTGGCACGCGAAATTGATCCAATCTAACAAAAGCGCGAGAACAAATAAATAAAAACGATTGAAACAGTTTTAAAAAGCACAAATAATCGTGCGCTAGAAGTTACTAAATTGTATTTTTTGTTTCTTGTTAAAAAAAAGAAGAGAATTATTTACGCGATCTTTATCCGTAAGATTTTTATTGTGCAAAAACATGTTATTTGTAATTGTGATAAATCTCAGTCAACAAAAAAAAAACAATTGAACAAACAATGGCGATTACGACACTCGCACACGAGAGAAAAATAATTTACTTGTTTTTCTTTTTTTTTTTTTTTGTTTTAATTCACAAAAATTCTGCGATGATACAAGATGTGTCGCCCATTTCGAGAAACGAGCGACATTATACACATTGCGCCAAGTTGCTCGTCGTGTGCGTAATACGAACCCGCGTGTCGCGTGACATACGCGAAAACGTGCTCTCGTGGCACGCCTCGCGTGCGATGCGGTTGTTCGGCCAGCCGCGAAATATTTGTACGATATGTATCCCGAGCGAAATAGAATCGCGGAATTTCGTGGTTGCACGATGAGAGCGCACTTCGCGCTCGCTGAAGCGAAAATGAAAGGCGATTAACGAGCGTTATAATAATAACATTTTCAAAACAAGAGAATTCCATACAGGCAATATGATAATCTATTATTTTGGTATTTAGCGAATATGGGGGTTCTCTCGTGCGCGCACGAGAGAGGGTAGAAATTAATTTCGCGTATATTTCGCGTCCGTCCGGTTTTATCGTTTCAAGACGATTACGCTTGATAATCATACAATTATGTGTTATCACCGGTCGTTATACCGATAATAACAGTTTATGTCGTTCCACTTCTCTCTCTTTTTTTTTACGAGTATAAATTCTTTAACAAATATAATAATGTTTCTTCTCGTAAATAGACGACGAGATCATCGTTTCAACAGGATATGTATTTAAGCGTACGGTAAACAAAATGCTTGAAAAAAAAATAGAATTTTTTTCATTCCCGTTAAGTTTTGTACAGAAAGAAGAAGAGAGACGAGACGGAATATGAAAAAAAAAAAAAAAAAAAGGGACAGAGACTTTGCGGGGGCTGGAGGTACGCGAAGAACCGTTAAAATATGTAAAACGGCACGGTCCACTTTTGGCTCGCGCGCTCCTCCCTCTGCCCTTTTGGGACTTCTTTTTTTTCTTCGCTTATTCTGTGTACCTTCGATTATCTCTTTCACCGCGTTTTGCGGGGGGTTCAATGAACCAGGATATAAAGCCCGCAGGTGCCCGTACATAATCGTTCGCAAATTTTATTCTCTGCGGTGCTCAGCATCCGCAAAATATTTCAGCAAGATTTCTAGTTTGTGGAAAAAACTTATAACGTGAAAATTTATATGAACAAGTTTTGAGAAAAATTTAGATTACACACGCGCGAAACTACTGTAATACTACCGTTATATTTTATTTAAAACGAATAGTTAGAACGCACGGAGAACCGCACTGTAATTTCGGATATTCCGTAGTATAATTGCTGCAAACACTGTAAACACCGTTGAATTTTGGGATGTATGGCGAAACAACGATGCGAAAGCTTGATTACCTCTGGTATATAAGCAAACTTGCTGGGATGTTAACAACAATTGTAGCAACGTCTGTGCTGTCAGGAAACATTACTGAATTTATTGAATACTGACAGCTGAAACACCACCACTAGGAAATAAATTTACATTCGCGCTGTGGAAAGCCTTGAAGAAGAGTATTTGCGTTTGTTTGTTTTTTTTTTGTTATCAAGAAATCGATATTTGCACAGAGCAAATTGACTTTTTTCAACAGCTTACGGAAAACGTTTCTTAATTTAACTTAAATGGAAATAACGTGCTTCTCTGTGTAAAACTTGTTTAACAAATTAGACAAATATAAATGTCGACACACACACACATATATTTTTAGATAAATATTTTATTCACGTGTGAAAAAATTAGTTTTGATAAAAATATATTACGAAGTATATTACATAGGTATGTATCACGAAGGAATTGAGTCGAAAATTACACACGTATCAATCGCTATTTTTGGAATCACAATAAGAATTTTTACCACGAATAAAAAAGATATGAAGGGAGTTTTTTATTTGACATTGCGTGATTAAGTACCGTCTGTCATAGTCAGTGATAGATGGTTGCTGGAGCCACGATAAAGGATTAGCTTGATTTCCGCAGGTACAGCGTTCTGCACTCAGCAGCATAGTCATTACTTTGCTAATTATGAACAGACAACTCATTGTTTGCGACATTATATGATTATGTCACTGCGTTCATTTAAAAAAAAAAAAAAAAAAAAAAAAGAAATGAACTGACATTTTGATATCTAAACTCGTGTTGCGAGTGTAATTGTTTTTTAATGTTTATGTAACGTTTGCGAGAAGCGAGTAAAACTCTTTGTTAGAGTTCTACTAATTGTATCCTACGTTTCATAAATAATACAATTTATCATCTAAATTTGTTTATGTCGTGAGACAGAGAGGAATGACGTTTTTTTCCATTGCGATTAAAATATATGTATATTTTCATTAGAGAAATATCAAACGCGTCATCGCGATTAAACGAAATGTCAGTATCGCACAATCAGCACAAGTTATATTCATATTAATGATATATTGTTCGCATCTTTCGAAGCTATGATGATTAAATGTGCCATTCATTCGTAATCATCTATTGGTCGCGTTGTCACTATTACAGTTCGGTCGTTATCGTCGATAAATCGAAACAAGTGACCTCATAACTAAAATACCATGTGATTTCATACAAAACATATTTTCTATACAATCGTTTATACTGCAGTGTATGAATATATAAATGTAGAAAGATAATAAACAATATTAATATCTATGTAACTCTCACTCATTTGCGTTGTGAGAATTTACAATAAATTGATCGATTTTTAATATATAAATGTTCGCGTAATTAAAACTTAAATTAAAATCTTGGTAAAACTAGCTTCGATGTAAAATTACATTATAAAATCAAGGCCAAAGAAAAGAGACCACGTACGAGTCTTCTTAATGTAATTTAAACTCATTCCACGCTCATCCGCCTTCGTCGGCGACCATCGATGCTCCGCAACATCAACGTTACTGTTAGCAGAAGGTCGTCAACGTCGGTGAACCGAAACAAGTGACCGAGTAACTAGAACAAGACTCGACCCGACGCGCTGCCAGTTAAGGGTCGAGGAATCAGCGCGCGCGGTCGACACGGATGATCCATCCAAGTGGATCGTGGGAGCCCGTCGCGAGATTTGAATCAGGAATCCACGATGGCGGTACTCACCTATGATGGTGTGAACCCTCACGGACAGCTGGGTCCTGAGAATGATCGCGTTCTTCCGGCTGCAACAGAAAGAACAGACAATGCCGAGCCGATTAGTACGGGCGTTCTAATGCCGATCGTTGCGTGGGTTACGTATTAATATGTAATCAGAGGAAGAAGGTAGAGACGAAACGGAGAGACGGGGAGGAAGGCCCATTGCCCCAGTGAAGCGCGCGCTATTATCCCGTCCCGTCTCTGATGGCTGTTAATTAGTCGCGACCGCGAATTAATCGCGTTCGGTAATTACTTAATTAGGGTTCGGCGTGGCTGAGCGCCCTCCTTAAGCCGCGTACACACCGTGCGAACGATAACAAACTTATTGTACACAGTGTGGCGCGTGTTCTCGAATCTAGATTCATAAATTTGCGATTACAATACGTTCATTGTTCTGACGTAACAGACCACGATGACCCGGTAACGTTGTTACGACGTATGTTTCGAATCGAAACTCGAGTAACCGAAATAAATAATTTTTCAAGCAGATATTCTTAAACACTTCATCAGAGATAGAGATCATCTCCCAGACATTTTCTACATATAGGAATTCAGGTAACGGTAAAGTCATCGTGTGACGTCCTTCACGAAGTCCCTAATTTGAGCGCGAGGCGCGCTTCATCAGGTCTCGTGTACAAGCGCAACTTTACGGGACTTTGCTACGTACAAGCTACGCGCTCCGATAAATAAATTGGGTTAGAATGGCGGCGAGACTCGGCTTCTCTCCCCCGTACATATATACGCCTCACCTTGGACGGCGCGAACTTTAAGGCCCTGCGAACCTTCTCACGCCACGTCGCTGAGAAACCGCGACGACCGTGTAGACAATGGCTTTTAGAAAAAGAAGGGGAGAAAAAGAGGCGACGAGAGAAGCCCACGCCGCGATGGCGATGGTGGTGGTGGCAGCGATGGTTGTACGCGGAGGTGAAATAAAACAAAAAAAAAAAAAAAAAGAAAAAACAAAATAAAACTCGAGTATACGCTCGTTAATAATGTTTCCGCTCGTTAGACGAGGGGGAGGCGGAATGCGATTACGCGCCCTGAATTTCCCACGAATATATATGCTGGCGGTATGTTGTACCGCGACCCTTTAAAACGAGGCGATTAAAGCACAGATAATGTTAAATATTGAATTTAGTAAAAGAGTCAAATCCGCGCGCACATCGAAGAGAATAATTATAATCCTCGAATGTTTGAAGTTTGAACCAGTACTGCGCACGCAAGTGTGGCATCGAAGAGATATTAATTTTAATAATAAAACAAATGTAACATCACGGCTAATTGCATATCATGTGAAACGTGAGAGGGAGGAAGAGAGAAGAGGGAATGTTAACTCGTACAAAAGGAAAGGATTTATGATGATATTCCATTATACGCTCTTTACGAGATTAAATTACAGAAGCAGATAATAGCCATGCATGAGGATTCATCGAGCGCATAACAGCAGCCATATCTTCCAATCAATATTATTTAAGTGCTTGAATATTTCATTTTGTTAACCGATGTTGAATTAAAATCAGTTGAAATATTATCAAGGCTGAATCGCAACCTTTTTTTCCTCTCCTGGCTGCTCGGTATGTAACCATCCACTCGTTTGAGAGAACACTCTGTTCGTTGCAGCGCACGCGGAGTGATATATTGCGCGCGGCAATAAAAATAATCTCGCCGCAAAACTGGCCGCAAAAGAGTAACCATCAAAATCAAAAGTTGCGCGAACAAAATGGGAAAGTTTCGGTCCAAGTTCAATGCCACGCCGCTTCTCTTTTAAAATAAACAAGCGCTATCTTTGGCCCCGATTGATGAGCGATAACTCATTTCGTATGTATGTAGGAGTGCAATTCGATTTTTTTTCGTACGTAGGAGAGCGCACTTGCTATCCCACGGTCAACACACAGCGAAATGCATCGGTGTCGCGAATATATATATATATATATGCAATCTTAATCCTTTCTACGTTTGCGATTTTACCAATCGCCCTGTCGCAATCGATAAACGCTCGTAATTTAAGAAAACGCAAGTAATTTCAACATTGTCCCAATTTCATTATTATTATTATTATTGTAGTTGCATCAAGTTGAAATGTTTATACTTAGAAAAGAGAGAGAGAGAGATTGTTCTACAGATTCATATTTACATTCTATTATGTTTGATATAAATACTTAAGCAATTATAATTAAGTATTTTAAAACTATTAGTTAAACAGAGATTAGATAATCTACAAAAAAAATCTTCAAAATATATTCTTAAATCCGTAAGATAAATTTTCAATTTCCAAATGTTCAATGTTCTCGCGCGCATGTGAGATCGCACGGCGATTTACCGTAAAATATCTTCTCTCGAAATGGATATAACATTCTCGGGAAAACAACGCGCGGGTGTCAGAACGCGGGAAGTCGTCGAAATCTACCTGGAGGAGGAACCGGAGAAGCTCTCATGCAAATGCGATTTACCTACGGCGTGGCTACCGCCAGCGGCAAGTGCACCCCCGGGAGAACGAAAACGAAGCCGGGGTAACGTTCCCTCCTACGGCAAATGGAATGCAAAATCTCAAACGCCTGTGAGAACTTCGTCGTCCGTGTGCCGTTGGACGACGAAAGTCTCCCGTGCCGAAAGGATTTCCAATCTCTCTTAATGGCGCATTAATCGTGATTCCTTGAACGAGAGAGAGCGAAATGGCTGTTGCCTTAAACGCGATAACTTCGCCGACCGACAGTTTTCAATTGGCTAAACGACGTACTGATAGCCGGCGAAGTTGTTTTCGATATCTGTTATCGATACCTCCTTCCGTTCCTTTGCTCACGCACTCTTTAATTCAAAAGTTTTGCGCGAAGTTACGACGAGAACGAGCGCCCGTCGAGAAATCCTACGTCGAGCAATCGAGCATGAAATTAAAGATGTTCGTATTTGAAAAAGTTCTGCGGAAATGAGAAACTTAGATCTTGTTTGTGTTAATTTTTCTTTCGCGCGCGAAAAAGTTTTAATTCGAAGAGGGGAGAGCAAGAATGTATATTGATTTGGAAATAATTGTTTTTTTTTTTCACTAGCACAACACAGATGCGCGCTACGCGCACGTTGTTATTGTTTTTCTTTTAACGTGTTGTGCCAGTAAACACAACCTGTCACCGCGATTACAGCTAGTATATACGTCTTACAAACCAATACAATAAACATGATGTACATATGAGAGATGTCAGAAATAACGCGTGAAAATTAAATTCGAAAAATAGAAAGAGAGAGAAGTAAAAAAACAACACGTGACTATTACGTATTTTAGTCACGTGTCTTTAACAACGTGACTAAAGTAAAGTCACAGAGAGGAGTAGAGAAACAACACGTGAGTAAAGTAACGTGTACATGTTTACTTTTGTTTATACAAAAAAAAGAAAGTTATAAGTTACGATTCCGATAAGTTACGGTTCCATCGTCCGATTGTGAAAACGACAATCAGGGTTTATTGATTCCAACGTGCCGTTCCGAAAAGCGAAATTCGTGGATCGCGATGAAGATTAATGATAGAGATCCACCTGGATCCGGCTGAGAGAAAAAAAAAACGAACGCGTCGATATTAACTCGCCACACGACTTCCTCGCTTCGTTACACCTCAAGCTGCTCGATCCTGCCGAAAGATCAGGAGGATCATCCCGTCGTCTTTTTAACGATTTATCCGTTTGGTTGATGCGAGGTCGGTCCGTTCTCCGCAAAAAGACGCGATTGCGAAATGATACGATGCACGCGCGGAACCGCGATTTTCCCGAGCCGAGAGTTTTCAAGCGCACGTTTCCTTCGCAAAAATTATGCAACACGAAGTAACCAAATAAAATCGCTGTTACACAGGTTGCCAAGAAAGAGACGACTCATCGGCGCGATTTCAGAAGAACAGAAAACGCGCCGCGTCGCCTGGCAAGAAGAAAGTTTATTTCGCCGCAGCTGACGGAACCGAATAGTGTCACCGGATGACTTATCGAACGATTTTTCAGCAATTTTCCAATATCGAGACGTACTAACTTCTGGCGGCGCGCCAGAAATGATAGAGCGAAACAAAGATAAATAAATAACCGGCGAGAGCGTAACCGTTGCTTATTTTTACGTCGCGCGATGTATGTTAAATCTTTAATCACTGTATATTCGGAGTTAACTTATTGTTATGTACAAGTAATACGTACAAAAGATTAATTTTACACGATTTCAAACTCTGTGAATCATGTGGCATCATGCGCACCAGTGTGAAACGCGACATACCGATACCTACACCGATCTTTTCCCCTTGTATTAAAGCACCGTCCGCTGTTAACAAGCGCCCGAGTCAGCTAATATATTCCGACACATCCTCCGAGGTCGTGTACGAAAAGGGGCGAGCGTAAAGCGCGCGCGTGTTGGTCGATTAACGGTTGTACAAATAAAGCTCGTCGGCGATTGCGTAACGATCCTAGGCGACGACGCTTAAGGTCGAGTCTCACTCCCCCGGTCGAAGTCATAAATCACTTAGGAATTAACCCCTCTAATTGGTCCGCCAAGTATTTAAATCGGACGCGCATGCACACACACACACACGCGCGACCGAGAGTGCAAACACACACGTCGCGTGTGCGAGCGCGCGCGACGCGCGTTCTGCGACTTTTTTTTTTGCCCGCGTGTGAAACCGGGCGGAGGAGCGCGAGTTGCCGAGCGTAATCGCGAAACGAGCGCGATTTTCGCAGCTTTCTGGGATCGCGCAGCTAATTAGCGTCCCTCAGCCATTTGAGAGAGAAGGAGAGAAGATTGCCACCGCTAATGGAAACGACGTCTAAATTAAAGCAACGCGCATTCTCCATGATAGAAATCGCGAGGAATTTGGCTTCATGACGAGCAACAAATCGTGCAAGAATTGAAACTGCGTTCAACAAAAAAAACGCCGCCTGAATAGTAATAAAGCGTTCAGTTTGTTCATTAGCGAGGCATGCGCAAATTACAATATTCTAAACTAAGCGATAGAGCGCGTTTGGAATTATTACAAAGCTTAGTAGTTAGTGTGTTACACACGTAATAC